AGATATCGGAGCGCGGAGGAGTAGTATACACGTCGAGATTTATGAATAAGGGAACCACCACTCCGAGGGGCGCGCCGTCGTCGGAGTCACTCGAACCGTTTCAAAGCGTTCCAAAACTTTACGAGTAGGTGCTCTACGCGCTTCCTGTCGTCTAGCGCTCGTTCCGCATCGATCCGGAACGCATACCACCCTGCACAACTTAGCCGGCCCGGTTAACCTACCTCCTCCCATTCTTCACCCTCTCTTTCTCTCTCTTCCAGCCGAGATACATATATCCCGCTAACAAGACTCGACGAGATTTACCGAAGGATCAACGTCGCGCGCTCTCGTCCGAGAGTTTGTCCTAGACAGGAAACGAGGCTACGTCTCTCTCTCTCTCTCTCTCTCTCTTGTGTGCCTCCTTAACTGAACGACGAGTGCCCGAAGGAGGAGGAGGACGACCCTCCGGCATGCTTGTCCCTAATGTGCACCTTTAGATTGTCGCTGCGCGTGAACACGTAGTTGCAGTAGGGACACTGGCAGTTCTGCGACTGGTGGGATCTTAGGTGGTGCCATCGGTTACTGACCGACTTGCCACAATAGAGGCAGCTGTACAGCCTGGGACGCCAACCCTCCCCGGGTATCCTTACAAACATATCGTACTGATGGCCGCCGCCGCCGCCGGCACCGCCGCCCGTCACCCTTGCGCGAGCATTCTCCGGCTCGGAGGGATGCAAGGGCGGAGGCATCCGGCGGGGCAGCTGGAGCTCCGCTGCCTGACCTTGCGGGCCAACCCTCTCTCTCTTCAGTGAAACATCACTGGCCAACACTGTAACAGAGAGTGAGAGGAAGAAAGAGAGAGAAAGAGAGAGAGAGACGCGGAGATACATAGGAGAAAAAGAGAGGACGAGGAGAGAAGAGCGGCAGAGAGAGCGAGAAGGGAGGAGGTGAGACTGAGGGAAGGACAGAATAGCGGAGGGGTCGCTCGAAGAGATTTATTATGCGAGGAGCAGAGCGAGAGAGAAACGGGGTGAGCCCTTTCGGAGCTTAACACACTTTGTACCGGGCGTTGCACACGTAAGCTGTCTCTATTTTTCGGGCCGCAACGTTGATATACGCGCGAAGGAAGTATATACGCCGGTGGTTTATATTCTGAATAATGCATCCGAATTTTCCTAGGAGGAGCTTTCCCCTCTTTCCTCTTGTTATCCAGGCTTTCGCGGGGATAGTTCATCGCGCACGGTCTCTCTTTCTTACAATCGCAACAATACGATGCAATGACACCCAAGATACAATTATATTATTTACGATCTTCTCCGTCTTCATTAGTTGCTCCCCATTAATTCCGCGAGATTACAACCCAAAAAACAAAACACACGCGGTTAATTTTAATCAACCGCGCAAAGAGGGTCCCGTCTGTCGTCGAAGCAGTCTCAAACAATCTCTCGGGATCCAGCGACATGCAAGTTCAGTCCATAAAATCGCGCACGTTAACAACGCCCAATCTTTGCAGCGTGGAACCCGATGTTCGCATACACCGGCATCGATCACCGCGCTGCCGCGCTGTGCCAGAAAGAGCCGTTAAGGAGGGTGGGATGCAAGAGGGGTGGAAGAGCGACAGAGAAAGAGGGAAGACGCAGGAGTAACGCGGAGAGAGGATGAGGGGCGACGAGACGGCGAGCAGCGAGAGAGAAAGAGAGAGAGACATGCGTACATGTACACACATACACAGTGTATTTCCAACCCTCCATTGTGTGCGCGTCTCCTCCCGAGGTACATTCGAGTAAACTGCATATATGCCGAGGACTGTAGCCGTATGATCTATGTACCGGCGGATTCAACACAGCGATCCGCCGCGTGTTACAGGATTTCGCGTCTCCCCACGGCGAAATGACGATCATACGGTGACGCGGGAAACGACCCGCCGTATCCCCACCTTTCATCCCTCCCCCTCTCTCTCTCTCTTTCTCTCTACCTCACTTTCTTTTTTTGTTATTTTCGCTCAAACCAGATGCCGCGCGCTAAATTCACACGTGGCTGCCGTGCGCGGTAGATATCTGCCGCGTGTTACGCGGCAGCCCGTATTTTCCGTCGAACGAGGAACTTTTCTCAAATCCCAAGCGAAATCGCGACGCCGGGCGGTACTCTCAGACCTGAGCCGAAGGACTCAATTTTCTTTACGGTCGGATGTGTGCGATAATAGTGCTCGATCGCGTGATGATTTCTTCGCGCGGCTTCGCGAATTGTCTGACGAACGGGGATCATAAGATACTGAAGAGGTCTCGAGTCTGACACGTGAATATCCGCAGTTGATCGTAGAACGTGATCTTCTAACAAATTATGTACACGTCTTTTTCAATATATTATACTAAAATATAATATCAATGTCGATATATATAATATATAACTTTTATATATATTATTTTATATATATAATTTATTATATTATATTATATATAATTTATTAATATATTATATCCTTTGGAATATATTATATTAAAATATATTTAATAATATATTGAGAGGAATACGTTATATTGGAAATAAATATTATACGTATGATATAAATTATCAACAAAGAAAAATTATATTTAACTGGAGGGAAAAAGAGACGAGCTCCCATCGATACTTTTCCTAGCCGGCAAAAATATGTCAGAAAAAAGCCCACGATCGCAAACGACGTGGAAACTCAGCGAATGTAAAATGCGAACGTTCGTTCGTAATTTAACCGCGGGGAGACGGTCGCGCGAATTGCGTCGCGACTTTAGAGAAACGACGAAATTCAGTCGTCGCGCAAAACTTTCCCGAAGCGGTTGATTCCCGGAGTACTCGTAAGGTCAAAACGTTGGAACTTCATTTCGAGTACTCCTGTCAGACATATATGTACAGCGCTCTGCCCGGGTCTGAGTAGTACGTGCCGCTTGTTCGAAGACAATACCGCCGTTCCCGCGAACATGTAACCTCTCAAGACATGAGGAGAGCGAGGGTCGATTTGAATTACTCGGAAACAACGATAACGAGGACATTGCGATGAACGTGAGGAGGACAGGAGAGACTCCTATATTCAATTGATCATTCAATGTTAATAATAATGGCTGCTGCGATTGTTTAGATTATTCGACGATAACCGGATATCGACGGACACGCTCTCTCCAAAAGTAGTACCGGAGACTCCTACTATGGCTATGCAATACGAATATAAATACACGAAGCAATAAATTAATACACCTAATGAATAAGAATGCAGTGCACATTGTTTGCGAGCGAAGAGAAAAACGATCACGCGGCTTCGGCGAAGAAGAACGGGCAGGAAAATCCGCGGGTACACCTCCATTGTCCCCCCTGCCCCCCCGAAATTGGACAATTGCAGGGCGAGCCGTGATAGGATCGTGTCTGACGCAAATCCGATCCGGCGAAATCAAGTTTTTTTTCTTTACCGATACATAAATACGCGAATAAAATTAGACTATGAAAACTTGACTCGCTCGCTCGGACTACGGGGGAGCTCCGCACGAAAAATCCCACGGTGGTTAAGTGGTTAATGGCTCGATCCGCGGAGTTTCGCGTCCGGGGGGAATCAGAGAGAGATCACGGCACAGACGAAGTTTCTCTGCTGCTTCGAGTGAACTCTCGAGGACGTATCGGCGGAAGCCAGCAACGGCACCGGCACGGTTTCTCCTCCATTGGCTAAGCCACCAAGTTTAAAGTAAGCGGGCACGAGCGCAAAAGACGAAAGCCTCTTGTCGTGTGCTCGAGAAACGAAACTCTTTGCGGCGGCTCGTTGCGCGCCTCCTCCTACCCGGCGATCCTCTTATTGAGGACACCAACCACCCTCTTCCTTCCGCCTCGCCTCATCCTGAAAACCGCCGGCACATCCGTCCGACCGTGAGACGCGCGTTCGTGTAATAAGGGCGAGAAGATATGCCGGTAAGGAGCTTATCGCTCGAGAAAGGACCTCGTCGCTCCTTGGACCGAGTATCGTGCTCGCTCGCTGCCGTTCGCGCATAAGAATATTAAACAAGCCGATGCGTCTCGGGGGCGAAGGAAACTAGAATATGTGTGTGTGTGTGAGTGTGTCGTTTCGTAGAGGGATGCCGCTCTGTTCGAGAGGAGAGATCGATTGACCGGGAGAATAAGTATCGGTCCCGGAGTAGTGATTTTAGAGACGAAAGTGGGATCAAGGAATTACGGGCGGAAGGAGTGCGCGAAGGTAGCGGAAGTAAGGAGAGAAAAGCACGGGCTAAAGAGGGTGCTTAACGTGAAGAAGACAAGCGGGACGCTGTCGAAAGAAAACCCGATTAGAGGAGAGACGGCCTCGCGAGTTGCGCATCGTAATTAGGACACTCGCGCCAATCTTCAGATCGGCGTGTCCGCCGGAAGAAGAGGGGAGGTGGAGAGGAAACCGATGAGCTTGGGCGTCGATCGAAACGAAAGTAACACCCCGTGACGTTTTAATTAATCGGCCGCGGCTTCCCGAGCGTCGGAATTATGAGACCGACGTAGCAGCGCCGCCTCCGAGTGAAAATGCGCCGGGGCTCGAGAAAACAATGAGAATCATTAGCGCGATTATTAACACAGAGCGAGAAGGGAAAGAGACGAGGGGTCGTCTTAGCGTTCGTGAAACTCTCGGTTTGTGAAAATGTGTGAAAATACGATCGAAGTGCCACAAAGAATATCGGGCCGGATCGATCGCATCGAGGACAGAAGACAGCGCATTGCGAGAGTAATTAGGGTAATGAAGGGCGGGCTGTATAATTAGATGCAACGATGGATCGATGGACCGAGCTATTGTAGGGGATGCAAAATGCTGTTGAGCTTTTTATCGCCCGACCGTGCCGAGAGCCCTTTGACCGCGCGAGCGCGGGACGGGGAAAGTCGCGCGATACTAATTTCCATTTGGGCCCTGCCGAGCTCGGTCTGCTAATGCAGAGCAACGCCGTCCATCGTTTCACCACAGGCGGGGAGACGGACGAACGGTTTTCCGCCGTTGAAGGTCGCAAAGTTGCGCACGGTTCAACGCGTCCCCGGGCAGCAGGATGGCGAGATATAATGCAGCCTCCGACCGTTACAGCTGCGCGGCTCCGAGACGCTCTCGCGACATTATCGCCGTATGCGAATCGTCGCCGCGACTACGTGTTCCTCCACGTTGCGCCGATGCGCGAGCATCCGAAGATCCCGTCGTGAATTACAAATTCCGGACGCGAGCGATTCGGCTTGAAAGCACCGTGTAAAACGCCAGTTTCTAATACTCAAAATGAATACTACGTTCGCGATTCGCACGCGCTCAGAGCGATGCACGGCGAACGCTTGGTCGGGTGTTAATTTGAAAAAATAATATCGAACGCGACGCGCCATTGTTATCAATCGACGCAAGAGGCATTACAGGCGGTTTCCGTGCGATTCGGGCCTCAAGATCGACGTCGCTGTCACGGATGAGCGCGCTTGTTTGTTCGTCCGACTGCCAGAACGCGAAAATAGTCGATACTCGTGTCATTGACAGAGCTATACGGCTCCAAAACTCTTGCAATTTTTATTACGCACCGTTCGGTCGCGATCGATGCGGGAGCCGCGTTTATCTCGCGGAAAGTGTTTACCGTTTCGAGGAAGAACACGAGGAGAGTAGCGGCCGCAAACTTGGAAAAGGGATCTCGGGAGACGAAGTCGCGAGCGTCTCGAGCCTCACGACGACCACGTGCGCGGGGGAATCCGACGTTTACAAAATACATCGCGACGCGAGATAGCTTTCTAAATACCGGAAGCGACGATAGCCAAGGGGACAAGGTCCAAGAAGCCTCGCAGCCGCCAAGGAGAAGGCGGAGCAGACGTTCGTGCGGAGGAGGAGGGCAAAAGTGAAACTCACAAGCAACGTAGGAAGTTCTCGTATGATATTTTGCGGCCAGTGTGTTCACAATCGAAGTAAGTGCCCCGCCGGTGAGATATCGCGGACTATAAGTGGACTCCACCGAGAGTTCGCCCGGGCTGTCGATTTTTTGCAGGTCCCGGAAACCGTGACGTTGCCAGAACACATCCGCCCGGGGAGAGAAGGCGCGCGCGAGAGGAGGAACGAGAGGACGCTCTCTCGTAATGCGTGAGTGTGGAACAAACGTCGGTGCATTCCCGTGAAACCACGGCGTCGCTTTATGCGAACGAACAGATGGCAAAAGTTCGTCGCGCCGAGTGCGGCGCGGGAATGTTGCGAAAAATCGCCGCGGTAGAATTCCCTCGAGAAGTCATGCCGACGACTATAACGACGAGGAGAAAGAGGGAGGGCGAAAGAGCACCCGATAATTAGAAAGTGTCACGAGGGGACGACCTTATTACACCTAATCCTGCGAAGCTGTGTACAACTCAGCTTAATTCTGCGCGGTAATCCCCTCTCGCGGTTTCGACTAGAGTAAAGTTTCCGATTAAGATAACGCGGCGGCCTGTAATCGGCTCGGGTTCCGGATAATCGACGCGCGAGGGGAGGGCAGAAAAGAGAAGGGGCGGGAAAGAGAACGACGATCTGACGACTATCCTTAAGACGTAGAGAAGCGTGAGTGACAAATGTATCGTCGGGCGTCGCGCGAGCACCGTGCGACGCCCCTTTCCGAAAAACTGCGACGACATATTTACTCGATCCACGTCCGATATTGGCGCGAATTCAATGGCTCGAAGAGCTAAAAGTGTCGCATCTGCAAATAGAGAAAGAACGTGGGTAAAAAAACTGGCTCGACGCCATACCTCCCGCGGAGGAGGCGCGGGCGCCCGTCATCGAGAACGACAGCACGACGACGCGCGGGTAGAAACATCGGCGACGGGGAGAAAGGGCGTGCGAAAAAAAATAATAATTGCATATTGCGTAACGACGTAAAGGGCTATGAATGTGTGACCACGCGCTGCCTAAGGGAGGTATTCGTTGCTCTTACTACGAACAATTATTATCATTTACCGATTATTGATTATCATTGTACTTAAGCGAAAGGCACCATAAGTGAGCTCGTAAAAAGCCTGCTTCATCCACCTTTTTTTTCTTAGATCTTCCTCTCTCTTTCTCACGACAGCCTATGGGCCTGCGGGACTAGTTCATTATGACTATTTTTGAGCGAGCCGTGGCGGCTCGCAGAGATCAGTCTTCCAACATGATTCACAACCTCTACGACGTATAAATATAAAATATATATTATATGCGCACACACACAACACGTCGGAAAAGAAACATTTTGCACCATCCGACAACCGCGTGGACGATCGATCGCGCGAATGTTGAGAAAGACGCGAGGTCACGCGAGAACCTATCAATTGTACGTTATTTTCTTTTTTGCACATCACTTCTACGAAAGAACGATCTGATTTTCTCAGCGTAACTCTTGACGTCAGGACGCGCCATCTTTCTAACTTCGAATTCAACTCTTTCGTTAGGGGAGAGAGATTCTCAGAATCATAATGAATGGTGCAAAACTTTTCGCGCGACACGCGTTTATAAGGTTACTTCGCGATATATCGTCCTGCTACGCTTGCAGATGCGATAGCCGAAAAATACTAGTGTCCGAAAACCCGGGAATCCGGAAATCCCGGCCCGTCCGGGGAAGCCGAGGATCGGCGAGTCCTCGGGCAGCCGGTGTGACTCGAGGATTCCAGCGTGACGGAGGTAACGATTACGAGATCGGTCCGTAATCTCGGAGGAACGTTAAAACTCATCGGAACTTGGTACACTCGTACCGAACGATCAACGGGGAGGTAGAACACGAACAAAGTTTTGTACTCGAATTACTTTCGCTGAGATCTCCGGCCATTGATTTTACGTAAACTCCGCTAATGTAAACCTAATGAAAAGGGAGGCCCGGCTTCTTCGCGGGGGAAGAACGGGGACTCCGCGTCTTACTCGTTAAAGTTAAATATTAGAGTCTATGAACGCATGAGAGAATAAATAGATTTGCATAAATATATACATATATATATGTATATATATATATATATATATATCATGGGATTATAAGGGAAAAGACGCGCGCAATACGGTACACACCGTTTCTACGATACGCGGGGCACGACGAAGGGAGAAGGGTCCTTCGTGCGCGTCAATCGTGGCCGATTGTAATACTAAATTACGCGCGGGTTGACATCGCGAACGATGACGTTGCAACGCGCGCCTTCGTCAGTCAACCTTCTCTCCGCGAATGCACGCGCGCGCGAATTCCACCAGACTTACACCACATATGATAAAAAATTAATTCTGTAGCCGAGACATCTCCGCGGGGATTCGAAGGATCCAAGCATCCGGGGACGACGGAGTCCGAGGATGAGTGGAGCTCAGAGGATCCGGGGATTCTCGTGACCCGCGCGGTTCGCATTACTTCGCATGTGGCGCTCGTTGCGTGTCACATGCGACTCAAGTCGGCCACTAGGTGAAGTAGCCCGACTTCCCTTTCGTTAAAAAATGCTTGTGCAAACGCATGATCGACGGTTCCGAGGACGAGTGTTTCAATTTCATATGCCTTTTGAGATTGTCAGACCTGGTCAACGATATGTAGCAGATTGCGCATTGGTACTTTTCAGGATTGTGCGATTTCATGTGCTTTTTTATATTGGTTACGCTCTTGTTGCACAGGTTGCACTTCGTGCTCTGCGGGTGCTCTAACTTAGTGCGATTGTCTTTAGCTATATCCTTCTCTTTTTTGTAAGTCCTTGCCGTTCCTGGAATACAAGGTCCCGATTTCAATGAATTTGTCACAACCCACTCGACAATGCCAACTGTGTCTACTAGTATCACCCTAAGATGCACAAGGATGATCGATTCGACGTTATCACTCTCGATCTTTCTTTTTTCTGCGCAATGTTTGGAGATGCCGCTTGGATGCCTCGATTGATCGAAAAAAATCGCGCTGCGTCTACTAATTAATTCAGTGATTAAAAAAAAATCTCTATAAACGATATTACACGAACGTAAAGTTTCGCTGAAAAAAAAAAGAAAAAAGAAAGAAAAAGAATAATATATATGCACACAAGTCGGAGAGACGGAATAGAAACGCGAATTTATGAGAACTAAAAATGCCTAAAATAAATATTAAACAGCTGTTTTCCAAGATTATCGACTGCGCCTTTACAATAACGTATAAACGTAATAGCTTTTTCTTGCATTATACTGGAACTACCGCATAAAGGATTTCATCTTTTTGTTCTTTATTGTAACGTGCAAAAGTTATAAGCGCGAATATCTCCTTATTCGATTTTAAATATCTCCCTGAAGAAAACGCCTCGAGTTTAAATATATCATTTTGCTAACTACCGTGTCGAAAAGATAAATATTTATTCACTGATAAAACCCTAATACGCTTAAAATTCACTAAACTTTACAACATGAGCGTAGGACGCTAAATATAGACGTATTTTATTTCACACAAGTAAAATTTATAACTCTCGTGTATTTTAACGTCTTTCTAAAAAAATTATCTTTCAATGTAATTTCTGCACCATCCTAACGCGATATAATTATCATTGCGACAAAAAAGCCGTTTCGGATGATAACGTTAAACGGAGCACCCCGCATACTTCTCATAAGTCACACTCTACGCCAAATGGTTGCAGAGAAGAGGGAATTCTTTCAATTACGTTCCAAGTCAACGAGGACATCATTACGAACACCACACTTGTCCTTATTACAGGGTAACGCACTTGGACGGAACTACTTGATTTTCTCTCTTGCTCTTATAAACGCTGAAAGACAGCTCTACTTGCATCGAAAGAAACAAAGTATATGCATGTAAAGTAAAACAAAGTATATACATGTAAAAATAAATCAAAACAAAAAATCATTTCAAAGACGCGTGAAAACTCAAAAGAACGAAAAGTCGTGATTCATTCGTGTCTATCGAAACAAGATAGAAAATCGACTAATTCCAGAAGGACCTCGCCCTGCAATGCCTTAATCTATAATTTACCTACTTGTACCAAATGTCAAAATTACTATGTAAAAAAAGCGCATTTCTACTGTCATCTCATCGCGTTCCAAGAGACTAAAGATGCTGGCACAATACGTACAGGAGAAAGAAGAAAAAGAAGAATAATAAGAGGAAAGGAGAAGAAGAAAAGAAATTCAAACCAAGAAGAACAAGAGAAAAAAGTAACCCAAACGGAAAATAATATTCTCAACGCAGAGAACCTTCACGAAAGAGAAACTTGTCGATGTCTACACGTTTTGCGTAAACGGTAAACATCGAGAATACGGACTACTGACTTTGTCCCCAGTTCTTAAACACCGTCCATACGTAAATTAATCCATCGCAGATCGAACGCGTACGTGCCGCGATCGTTGCAACAATGCAGTTTATGCAACATTTCAGCTGACTATGGAATATATAATCTAACGACGACAACGACAACAACAACAATGATAACGACGACGACGACGACAACGATGAAGACGGCAACGACGACGATGGTATTGATGACGAAATCGCAATGATATCGAGAAAATGATAAACAGAAAATAGCGTTAGCAACAAAATCGAATTAACGAACGTTTAATCGCGTGTATATATCTCTCTCGACTTCAAATATAATCGTTAGGAAGAAAAAAGTAATACTCAGGGTTACGAGCTCTCCTGCTACTGGCAACTATCATTAATGCATCAACGATGCGCAGCAAAGTTGTGTGACTATAAGTAAGCGTGACGTATTGATAATTCAGACTAAAGACACGAAGGATATCTTGTATTTAATATGCTGTTTAAAAATGCTCGAACTTTCGAATCTGCCTATTAGTTTCGCTGATAATTTGGACGAACGATTAACAGTGGATTAACGGTGAAGCAGAACGCGGATCCATAGATTCCAATTTTTTATCGAAATTCTCGAGATCTTTCGGACACCTAGATTCCCCGGTTAAGAGAGACGCTGGCTACTCTAAATTCCAAAATCTCGAAAAATTTCGAATTCCGACCTTAGGACGGACGTTGGGAATTGTCGGATCCTTGGATTCGCCGTGCTTGAATAATAATCGCGTTTAGCTAGTATCCATATTCATCTTGAACCATTGTAGTCATCGCGGAACGTGTATATGGAAAACGTTTTACGTAACGAGTTCTTCCCGCGGCGCGGCAACTTTATTAACACAACGACGACGAATTGCGCAACGACGGGAGATGTGCCGACTGCATTTTTGTTGCTAATATTCTCGTTCACTTCGTGCAGATCAAAACGCAGAGAGACGTGAGAATGTAAGATCAAGATCGCTAGGCACGGTGACGCAAAGATACGGACAGAGGGTATTTATAAGAGAGAGGATATAGAAAAAAACAAAAAAATAAAGAAGTAACAAGAAAAAAAAAACAAGTATGAAGACATGCACAGAGAATCCCGCCGTGGTAGCGCGCATATATATGCATATGCCTGCGTACGTGCGCGCAGTATACGTATATATGCCGTAATGTCTATATATGATATAACGTTATGTACACGTCGTCCCACATACATACGTACACACAGGCACGCGCACATACGTACCAACACGCACGCACCAACGACACATTCTCGCACTCATTCGCACAATGTGGAGTTCGTTAGAAAATGTGACATCACGCATATGCACGTACGCACACGCGTCCACGCACGTGTAAGAACAGCGAGATGAACTCAGCCAGTCACACACGCGCAACCCACACGCCATTGCAGTGTTTCGGGCACAAAAATATAGGAGAGTAAAAATAGAGAATTAGGAGTACAGTCCATTTGCTGATATACACCATGTCCCAAACCAACGAGTTTTGTTATATATATAGAGATGTGTTTTTGTGTATGTATATATATATATATATATATATATATATATATATATATATTAATATATATATATATATATATATATATATATATATATATATATATATATATATATATATATATATATATATANAATTAAAACTACCACAATGACGTAGCAAATGCACGATACCATCACCACAACACCAAGGGTTCATGTAATATACATATGTAGTTAGAGATATATATATACACACACGTGTGTGTCAATATGTATGCATATTTATGTGTGTGTGTGCGTGCGTATGTGCGTGCGTGTATATATATATACACACACACACACACACGCACACACGTACACATATACATGTACATAGAAGAGAAGGTCCTTCACTTTCTAATGTTACACTCACTACACTTGATCAGATTTGGAAATAGAGGGATGCTCGCTTCGTACGACACCTACGTACGACTCGACGTGACGTCCAAATTCTTGCAAACGTGCATGCAGATCTCCCTCGATTTCTTAGATATAACATATTTCCCGCGCGATGTGGAGGAATCCGCGACGGAGATATCGTACTACACGCGCGAGGAGGAGCTCATCGCAGACATCGTCGGAGATCACGATACTTTAGGAGCGAATCTAACGCGAAATCTAACGCTAGTCGTTAAAATATCTGTGCCGTCACCATTTATTTACGCGGGATTTGTTAACATTGAAACTGATCGCGAATTAAGTTCGGATATATCGGATACTTCCAGTATGTTACGTTTTCTCACGCACACACACGATACGCGCGAGTTTACTCGCAGAGCAGAACGGCTCCGTGCGAGATACAAAAAAGGAAATATGTTAGATCTAAATGAAATTTTGGTTGTAAAGAATACATTGTGCAGTCTTACCATCAAGTCCGTCGAGCATCTCCGGTGGATTGTGGTGCTCAGATGACTCAATCCCCTGAACACCATCGCTGAGCGCCCCTGCCGTTGGTCCTCCGTCTTCTCCTATCAATCCAACTGGGTGACCCTGCGCACGATACGATCACACATTTATAAATAAGTGGACAATAATAACGGTAAAACTGATGCGTGTTTTGTGTCTTGTCATTTCTCTTTTTTTCTTTATACGAGATTTTTCTTAGACTTTTGTGACTTTACATGTCCGTTATTCAGACCCTTGTAACATCCTCCTCCGATAGCGTCTTTAAGATTAAGAGCAAAACGAAAACGCATTAAAAGTATATATTTACTTCCAGTTTTTACACATATGATGTTTTTACATAATATTCTTTGATTAAATTTTACATATAGCATGCAATTAAGAGGAAAATTAACGTTCTACGAGAAGCATAGCTGATAGTTCGTGAAACGTTCTCACTTATAAATAAGACTGGTCCTAAATGTCGCGTGTGAGGTAATTCAATTCTTCATAGGAAATATACGAACTAGGGATGTTTGCATAGAAGAGAAGCGATTTAATAAAATGCGATTTTTTTAGGAAAAAATTGATTTTCGTAAAAAAATCGATTCGGAATCGAACATCCCTAACACGAACTCGTCGTGAAGCAACATCGTTTTGAAACAATGTGCGCTTTGGCATCTCCCTTCTTTTTATCGCGCATTAAATAATATAACACACGTATAGCTATTTACACACACGTACACATCCTTCTCACGAAATGCAACATAGTTTCTCTGTGTGCGGAGCCATCTCAAAAAACATTCCACCTTATCGTAAAAATAAAAACATAAGATATTAAATACAAAACACACATTGTATATTCCATTTCGTTCATTTTAAAATGACGCAATTCTCGAGACCATAAGCGTATCACCAATCTTTTCACATATTATTTAAATATACAATGGTACCATTTGACAATATCGTCATTTCGTAAAACGCTGAATATTATATTTACATTCATTCGTTTCTTTCTTTCTACTTAAATGAGCAAAGTCGATCACAAGTTCGGTAGGCACAAGATAGACGTGATACGACACGTGAAACGGCGAAGCTAGCACGTCTTCGTCGTATAAGCGTAACTCTCTCTCGCTTCGCTTTCTTTAATAACGCACAGATTATGCGCTTTGCACTTATCGTGGTGGTTCACGATCTCGAGTCTAAAATTGCCGTTACCCGCCGCGAAAGAAGTGCGAATTTCAGGTATGGATTCGCTCCACTTTCTGCAGTACTTGCAAAACATAAGGTTCAATCGTTCGTCATATTGCAGCCACGAATATATATCTAACCAGCCGGGCTTGAATCTACCGGCCTTACGAGTACTTTGCGTAGCGGAACGCTGCAAGGACGTGCACAAGGTCGACTGAATTACAGACATTCCCACTTCCTGATTCACTCCCAGCGACCTATGCGTGTCACTTTCAGGCATTTTGAAATTTGGACTGCACTCGGGCAACGACTCGTAAGATGCGTTCAAATCAACGTTTTTGTACGAGTGGTGCGAGTTCGCGGGCGCGATCTGACTCTGTAGCGGATTGTACGAATTCCCGGAGAATTCAGTCCCTGATATATTGATACAGAGAGAACCTCCAGCCATGACGGTACTTTCGCGAGAAACTTGCATCACAGCCGTATCTGGATGATTGGGAGTCATGTTCTGTACATCCATAGTTTCGTCACTCTTCCCATTTCTCTGAACCTCCCACTCCACACTAGTCTGTCAACAGAGAAGGAAAGGATATGTGTTTAATCAACACATCTCAACCGAATCTCTTTTAGTATACGAAAAGCCAAAAAATTTTGTAATCTCTCTCTCTCTCTCTCTCTCTCTACTTGGAAAATCCCTTCCTTCCCATGTCTGTTCTGACTGAGTAGTTTGTAGGACGACGGTAGGTCAATTCGTCATCAATCGTGGGAACAGTAACGAAACTCTGTTACAGGGAAAAATTATCTTCGCGACATCGCGAGACCTTCGCACCTCTTTCAGGAATATGCGAAGTGCCTTATAAGCGAGAAGCGTGTAGCGCCTTTGGAAAAAATATGCGAGCAGAAAGAAGAAAGTATTTTTATCAACACAAAGGATCGGAGTAACATGCGGGAATAAAATCTACTGCATCAAGATGCCTCGTTACACAAGTAACTCACACCACAAAAGCATTCTATATATATGTTATTTTCAAATCAATGTATATAAATTGACATATAAAAGTTTGTTTTAAATACAAGTATTATATATTGAAAGGTTATATGTATATCCTATAGTAATGATGCATACATCAAATAATGTTGCATGTAATACACGTTTATTCCATTAAAACATTGTAGGGAGATGCCATAAAGTCCCTAATGTAACGAAAGTTAAAAATACTTTGCAACTCACATAGCCTATATGATTTCCAAAGTAAAAATAGACAGTTACTTTTATCTTTATTATACCATCATAGTGGATACACAGAGAATGACACAGTTCTCTTTTTAACTGTGCCGGTAATAGAATTCCAAACGACTTGGAATATTTATAATTAGTTTATCAGGAGAAAAAGCATATGCACATACATTATGTTGCATGCGATAACACATAAAGTCCACAAAGTTTAAACTAAATTAATGTTTTGCATAAAGATATGTAACGTATCAGGAGAAAAGTGAACAAATATATGTAAAGGATTACACAGATATGAGAAATGAAAATACATGAAAATAAATTTAACTAACGTGAAGATGTATAATACATATAAACACAGAAAGTTACTTACAGGGAGGGAAATATTGTCATGGAAGTCAGGCAAGTGGTGATCCACCTCTTGTTTTATAGGAGCCTGCGGTTGTGATGCAGGAGACATGGGTCGACCACCATCTTCCATATCAACTCCCAGGGCATTATTTAGCTTTGGAATCACAGGAGGACTTGATTTGTAACTACACTGCGAGGATGTCTGAAACCAATGAATCGAAAACTTTTTTCTAACCTTTTGAAATGTTATCAACCCTGCCTTAGTTTATTAGCACATTTCATTATGAGATTGTCTTTATAAAAAAAAGATACAAATAGACGAATCATTTATAAAGAAAACGAATGAATTTGATTACAATAAATTTATATCAAGTATCTAAAGTAAAACTGTCATGACTTTACGGTTAAGTAGCACATGGTGTTGCGGAACAGATGAATTATATATCCTTCTCAGTATGTGTGTGTGTGTGTGACCTTAACATCAAAATTTATATAAAAAGTAGAGAGAATATTACAGTAATTGTAATACATTGACTCTGAATCGGACGACAGACATGAGCTTTGAACTTCAAGGTTACAAGAAAAGTTGTTTGGAAAGCTGTGCAATCATGCACACATGTAATTCATCGATAATAATGTATAACATCATAAATAAATAAAGTCTCGTGTTGTAGCCAAAGTCTCAAGTATAAGTCCTCATTATATATCACTTAACTGCAACAAATGATGATGAGTAAAGTAAAAACTCTTTGCAATATTCATAATAAGTGGAATTTGAAGGAAACGATTACAAAATACAGTAACGCTTGCATAAATGTAAAAATAACACGCTGTATCGTTTGTTCTAGAATGATTTGTCTTAATCAGGTAGAATATATCCTTAAATAATATGTATGTGTGTAATTTGAGTAAGTTTCATATCGAATAACACATGCATGAAGTATGTTGTACTTGTGCAGGTGAAAAGAGTTGAAAAAAAAAGGAAGTGAAGTGAGACATATGTCATCTATTCCGCGATACAGTTAGAAAACATCAGGAACAAATGACGTTTACATACCTGAGAATCAGATAAGAACCGTTCACTAGGTGGGCCAGTAAGGGAAACATCGTAGCTGCCTGAAAGTTTTCTTTTCCTTTTCTCAGGATGAGACTGGAGGTTAGGCGAATCAGTATGTCTGATTCCGGTTTGTGTTTCTGGCTCTGGTGACGGGCTTTTCTCCTCCGTCTTGTTATTTACACTATTATCAGTGAGGCCTCTGATCTGTAATGCCTCTGCTGTTTTAAGGAACATCGGTAGCAGATGCTGACTAACGTTAACTTCGCCCTTATACATAAAGTGCAGCAATGCCCTCATCTCCTTGTCATTCACATCCTTGAGGAATATGATTGGATGAGGATGGGTGTTCTGTAGGAAAATGCTCTCAAAATACGGACTGCATGCAGAGAGTATCGTCTGATGTGCTTTGAATGTGTCTCCAACACAGGCCAGGGTCACATCACAGAGTGCTTCTCTTTCAAGTAGTGAGCTGAGAACGTCTGTGAGGTTGGCTGGATGATTGTTCCACCGTAGGCAATACTGCTGGTCCATCTTGTCTATCTCCAATCCCGACCCTACAACCAAACTAGATGCCCTGAACTGTCTACATAAAACTATGCTCACCCTGGCTACTTGAATGCCTCCCTAACCCTTAAAACGCCAACTCACACACTACTTCCACGCGCACTCTCCTATCGTCCTGACAATATCTCCCCGCAGATTAAATCGCGACTCTAGACCCACACAACGTCCTCCGTGCTTCTGCAAATGTGCCACATTGCAGTATAACTGTAAAACCCTTCAGGGTTCACGCCGAGCTACTATACGTGCCGAAAACATTTTTTCGCATAACCTCAGCGCCCGACCGAGCTAACCCGCGCCGGATTTCTACGCGATAAGCCACGACACGGCAGCCGCGAGGTTAGACCGCTAATTGCGACGCAGTATGTGCCACCCACGTATACGATAATAATCCGATATATTCGGAGGTAATGTTTTCGGCAATGTCAATATTCGCGAGGCTTGGGCGCCATTGTCGGCCGTGCTCTCGTCTAGCCTCCACGAGCCTCCTCGCGAAAACTCGATTTGTTGATGCCCGGATTTCTAACCACTCGTACCAGCCTAGCCGCACCGTTTTATTTACGCGAACACACCGCGAGTTATGCACCGCACATCGCGCACCGTCCGATACGTATTCCCGACTCGTACACGCCGATTACTCACCTTTCGCAAACTTTTTGCCATTACAACGCCACCCGACCCTTAACGTCCACTGCCATACCAATCTGCCAATGCCTACGGCCTTATTTTTAAAATACTTCTGACCTTCGTGCATCTGCCGCGGGGAATGGCGCGAAGGGCGCTCCGATTCAAACGCGGTTAACAGCCGATCGCGTGTCCGCCCGCACTACGAGCGAGATGCTGCGTCGTGCGCGACATTCCCGCGGTTCTATATATCGCCCACGAGAATACGGACGATTTACTCCACGCTCACCGCCATATCGATCCGCGATGTCGCCGCTCTTATATTTCCCAAATAATGCATACTTTCGCACGTCGGCTGCGCGTTATGGCGCGCGGAGCGCTCGATTCAAATCGCTTTACGATGGGTCGTGCGTTATATCGACGTATTTTTTATACTTGTTGCAATTAAGGAGCTGCCGAGGATAGAATTTTCAAGATAAAAAGTGCGCGCGTGTCGTTGGACATGTCGTAAACTTCACGCAGATATTTCTTTTCTACGAAATGTGAAACTTTTGGGGAAATTTTGAAAGAAAGTCGGAATATACTTTCAATCATTTTGTGAAACGTTATCTTTCGCTAAAAAAATATTTAATCACCCATAAAACATAAATATAGTTTACTGAAAAAAATCGAAAGTTGACATGAATTTGCCAATGCAAATTGTAAGGTTAATCACGGTTGTTTTTGACTGATTTCTTTCCGTCATCAATGAATGATTTTATAGCAGATGCATGAACAGCTGATTCATTTATCGAACAAAGATACTAAAACGTATAAAACACGTAAATATATTTCAATAAGTGATTGAAGGTTGATAAAAATTTATCAACGCACATTGTTCTAACTCTTTCTTATGATGGTTCTTTTGAGAAACGATAGACTTTTTCCTATTATTAATTAATTATTTCGCAACAAAGGCATGAAACAGTTCACTTATCGAACAAAACATATGCAAAATACATATTAAAACGTATAAGGCTTAAATATATTTCAATAATTGAAATTGATAAATAATAAATAAATTTGCCAATGCAAATTTGTATAACCGTTTATTACGGTGATTTTTTTGTGCAACATTTTTCCTAACATTAATGAATGATTTCACAGTAAATACATGAAACAGTCGATTCGTTTATCAAGCTTGAACGAATGCATCGCGATAAACGCTCTTATCTTATTTTCATCGTGCAAACAGCGATAATTGTAGTACAAATCCTGCTTTCCTAAGCAACGTAAAAGTTCTGATAGGATTTCAGCAGCGCATAAGCACGCAGAACAAATAAAGCGGTTGCGCTGTATTCGGTGAGTTGGTGCATTTTCAGACGGCCCCTCAATATAGTAACTTAATTTCGCCTATTCTCTCGCACCGCGGTCCGGCACCTAATTTAACGCATACGTTCATTACAAAGCTCAGTCTGCGGCAAGAAGTTAGATGGCCGTACGTTGAAACACACTTTTAGAAACGAATGTCCCTTTTGTGCGGATAAATCTCGTAGCAGGCACCGAATTTCAATTCCTATCGAGTAAATACCGAATGCGATTTTATCGTGAACGCGCATCTTTCCCCGTCTTCCCACGCGTTTCGCCTCGGAATAAACGAGTTTCGGGAAAGTACTTCCACACGCGACATACTTTACGTCTCTTTACATATTCGCTCATTTTCCTCACTCTGCTTCGCGACGAGATGTACATGAAAAAGAATAGCCGCATTTAAAGCCCGTAGCCAAAAGGGGAAGTGAAATCGGCGCTGATTGTTACTTTTTGTTCGCCGTTTCGCCGCGGTGCTCGAGATTCCGCGAACTCTCGTCGCGGGAGAAAATGTGGATTAAATTCGCGGGACCTTCGAGAGCGCGCGCGGCTTACTCGCATAAATACCAGGCCGCGGAGATACAGGCGGGCCGCGTAAAATGGAGATATTTTCACGTTTTCATCCATTCGGTTTAACAGCGCGAGTTTAACAGCGCGAGAAAAATTGTACGAGCGCACATCTGACCCTACCCGATTTCTCCGACGTCGTCGTAATTACTGAAAAAGCCGTATACTCAGTCGAACGGTGCTCGATACATTAAAGCGAAAATTCCACGAGATTCTCCGGCCGCGTTAACGCGCCCACCGAAGCGCGTTTTCCATGCGAGTTCCATTTCGCGGAAAATTGCAATGCACATGGAGACCCTTTAGCTTCATTTGGCGGTAATAAACGGTAATTCGCGCAAATCGCGGAGTTTCTGATATTAATTTGACCTCCCCCCGTGTGCTTTCTCTCTCTCCCTCACTCTCCCACTTACTCTCTCGCTCACCCTCTCCCCTATCCCCTCTCCCCGAACGATAATCGTGTTACCCACGCGAAATCAATAGGCACCGGGGAAAATTGGAAAATCTCCTCAACCGAGGTTTCCAACGCGGATTTACAAGCTTTGAACGGCTGTTAACAGATTTAATTCGCGCTTTCACCGGCATCGCTGGAAATTATGATTCACGTGCGCGCGTCCCGTTCAAAGATAGAAATGCAATAAATAAAATCCCCGTATACGTCACTTGATGTGAATTGTTACCGCTGCCGTTGGAAATTATGATTCGCGAGCGTATGCCCCGCCCATGGATGCAAACGCGATACACAAAATAACCTCGACAATGATGAGATAAACACGACGCGCGAGCGAAAGAATTCGATACGCGATTTCTCTTCTCTCACGTTCGCTTCCCCTCCTCTCCGCTCCGAGCATTGTTACGTCGCGGCTTGATTGCTTAATTAACCGCCGCCGTCCGGCGAGATTGTTGTCTAAATTCGGCGCAGCATTGCCCGGTCTCGAGACGGTCTTTATCGGTCGGAAGCCGGCTTACCCCGGCAAAGAGGATTCGTTTCACGGACATGTCCCGATTGCGCCTCGTTTCACCTCGTAATTTCCCCCATTTTTCCCTTAAATCAGAAATTAATCGCGGAAGCGACGATACGCGAGAGTCCTCGCGCGTACCTGTTTACCCCGTTCGGTTGAAAGGGCACTGAATAATATCGCGTTTAAAGAGCACCGTCGCAGATACGTCGCGCGCACATATGTATCCACGGCATGTAGGAAACAGCATGTACGTTCGAGCGACAATTTCAACCGCCGCGTGTCAGTGTTACACGTCAGTGAAAACGTCGTCCGTATCCGGGAAATATTCAACCACCTAGTCGCGGCCGTCGAACCGAATCTGAGTTAACAGGGGTCAGGCATGGGGAAGAGATAATACAGAAGGGACGTCGCTCGAAGTCGAGTGGGAATTTAGCGCGCGAATTCACGACCCCCCGAAATCCGTATCGCCGATCACGCGCGGCACATCTATAGATCGCGAATTCGAGCGAGAAATCCGAAAACGCACGAGATATGTCTGTGTAACTGGTCGCATTACGCTTTAAACACCGGACTGTATCCAGCGATGGATAATTACTCCGACTATGAACCCGATTACGAGGACCTTTTAATTACATCTCGCAACTCCCCAGCCCTCCGCCGCGAGTGGATGAGACGCGCGTGTTGAAGACGGAAAGGTTCTCTGCCGCGGCCCGTCTTAACGACACGCGCGTAGTTTAATAAGGACTGCGTAATTAGCCCTATCGGTGGGCGCTTCTTCATTAGGCGAATCTGCGAGCGCGCTCTTCCTAACGATATCCGTAACCGGGACAATACGATGCCCGGGAAATAACGAGTGTCGTCTCGTCCGCGTTTTCTGATAAACGGCGCGAGATAACAGAGAGTTATCCGTACAAAGTATCGTTGAAATAATAATCCACGCTCGACGTCGAGCGTTTCGTCGACGAGCACTTTCTGTTCTGCAAAAGTCATCTATCCATTAGACCCGTCGCCAACTTGCGGCGGTTCGCGAGCGCGTGTCGTGAAACCTCCCCCGTACTTGAGCGCTTCAATGTTTCAGTCGTTCTATATGCATTAGCCTGGCTAACATCCCCTCCCCCGAGTATCCTCCCTCGAGTACTCTCTTGTCTAAAGACAATTCCATTTCTTGATTCTCAAGTCGTTCAATAAAAAAAAGTCATGAGCGTGCAACAGACACACGAGAAACGGGGAGAAACTGAACCCTCTAATGGCAAGATGGTTTTTCTAAGAAGGTGGAGTCGGATCCGACCCCGTGCCCTGTTTCGTGTTCACTTTCCACGAAATCGACGTGCGAAATGGGTGAGAGGAGTAAATTAAAATACACGAAACATTCCTTAAAAAAGAAGAGAAGCAGTGCGCGTACGCTGTAAAATAAACGAAGCCGTAAGGTGAATCTGACCCCACCTTTGTCATTAGAAGATTGAAATACGTTATTTTTTTTCTTTTATGATAAACCGACCTGTGGTGTCCTGCGTGCATCTTGCGGGACGTCGTCGCGACAGTCCGCGCGATTAAGCGACGGCCGACCTTGGCCCTTCGACGCCGAAAGCGCGTTCGGGCCGTCGAAATGCACCGACGATCGATGCGCCGCAGTTGCACCGCGCCGGGAAACGCCGCCGCTTCCCGCACAAGGTTGCGGCGCATCGGTTTATCGTCTATCTTCCGGACGATCCCGCAGGAGATCTTCTGCGCGTCGATATCTTCGCGCGCTGTACGTACCAAGAGCACGCGCTCTTTGACGCGCGATTCTCGATTTTATCGGCAGATCGCCGCCATGCGAATCTACTCGAAATCGCAGATCGTCTTAGAACCGGATTCCTCCTCGGTTTTCTTGAGCAAAGTACAGTTCGCAAGGCGTGAAAAAATAGACTTACGCTCCGACCGGCCGAGCGTAGAAAAATAGAAGCGACTCGATTCTCTTCACTGCTACTACCCCCTTCGCCGTCTCTCTTCCCGATCGTCGCAAGCTCGCTCGCTCGCTCGCTCTCGCGCAACGCTGAGGAGACGCCAGCGTCTCTCTTCGAGATTTCCGTCCGACGCCGCGAATCGATTAGGGATTGGAAGTTTCTCGAGTCCGTGACGCAAACACGAGCGATAACGTGGAAGCGCTCGGAAAAGCTCTATATAGGACGGCCGCGCCGATAAAGGACGCGCCGCTGCATTCGGGCGTGCATTTTCCCGACTACAATGCAGTCGAAGCGCGGTCTCGCCGGTGGGAAAGGGCGGACGGGTGCGCGCTTTGAGCCCGGATCTTCAAACGAAGCCGACATTTCTCGCGAAGCAAATGCCACCGCCGGCGAATTTTCTTCGACCCTGCGTGCGGGATGTGACGCGCTGCTGCTGCTGCTGCTCAAGAGAGAGAGAGAGAGGGAGAGCGGCTCCGAAATATCCGCCAAATGACTCGAGAGACCGAGCGGCGCTCCGAATAATAGAAACGCTTCGAGACGTTCCCGAGTAACTGCCCGCGAGAAGGTGACGGGAGACGGAAAACTTTGGAGTACCTGGCTCACCCGGGACCTGCTCCGTGTCTCTCCCGCAGCCATCACGGAGAATTACTCGTTCCGCACGAGCTGCCTGCTCCTCGGATCGATCCCGAATCTTCGAGTCATTTTTCCGACACTCTCCCGCAAGTTCTCCCTCTCTCTCTCTCTCTGTCTACTCCGCTCTCTCGGGCAAGTTTGATCCCGCTGATCGTCAAC